TGCAGGTGGTCAAACAGCAGTCAATTGGCGGCGGCCTGGTGGCAGATCAGCAGGTTGAGCCCACCTGGAGGTCACCCCTAGGGCCGGAAGGAATTAGGAGGCGCAGTCGCAGAGTCCTGATTCATTCCTTCCAGGTGGCCAAGGCTGGGAAGGGGGCAGTCCCCTCAAGGGATGTGGGCGAGTAGCCGGGGAGCTGTCCGCTGGGGCTCCCGGGGTCGCTAAAAGCCCTCAGTAATCCCCACCACCACCACCACCCAGACCCCAGAGATGCGCGGGAGGAAGCTGTGTCGCTGTAGGTCTGGGGCCCTAGGACGTCGCTTTCTGAAACACAAAGCTTGCAGCTGGGCGCAGAGTGCCCGAGCCTCTTTCCTAGTTTGGAGCCTGCAAGGACCGGGCTTGGGACTCTGCCTGGCCAAGTTTCATTATCTTCGGAGTTTTAACCAGTAAAGCGACCACCTCGACACCCCCACACTCTGCTCTCCCTCCTGCCCCCTCCCCCCATCGCCGAAGGGCAAAGACCACAACCCACGTTCAAGCTCTGAGAGGGTCTAGGAGAACCGGAAGGCAACCGACATCTTCCTGGTGAGCCGGGGCACCTGGGGAAACGCACCGCCCCAACTGCCCAGCCCCGGGAAGGGACCGCCCTGCACCCGTCCGGGCTAGAGCCACTGGGAGTCCTCTCTTGGCGTCCCTCCGCAGGGTGCCCTCACTGCCCAGAACGCGCTGTCTGCGGATGCGGACTACGTGCAAGCTCTGGGAAGCCGGCGCTGCTTCTACAACACGTGGGCTGGCAGCCGTGCGTCCTTGGCTTCCCGCCGCCTCCCTCATAAAGGCCTAATCAGGACCATCTCAGAGACCTCAGAGTGGACACGTCAAGCCCCAGGAGAGACTGACCGAACAACTGAGGCGGCTTCTGGCCGGGACCGGTTCGCTAGCGCGGCAGACCGCCGGCTCCTGCTGTTTGGAACGCCCCAACGCAGCCAAACTGTTTCCGCCCACGGAGTCCCGGGCTCCAGCCCTTCTCGCCCAAAGTGGAAGTGATTCCTGGGATGCCCGAGTTTGTGAGCCACCCGCCATGCCCAGCCTAGGCCGCATGGAGAAAGGCAAGGCTCGCCTTGACGCAGCCAATGGAAAGGGCGTTTTAGGAAGCTGTCGCGAGAGCACTTTTTACCTCTACGCGACCCCCAACCCCCGCCCGCGGATTTAGAAGCCGCTTCACCAAGCCCCACCGTGTCATAAAATATTTTATTGGAAAAAAAAAAAGTCACTGTCTTTGCAGGAGGGGGCTAGGGGCCCCAGCGACATCGGGGACCCGGCCATGTGGCCGAGCCGCTGGGTAGTCCGGGTGCTGTCTCCGGCCGAGGTGGCCTGCGCACGGCCGCCGAGTCCCCGACTCGCGGAAGCGGGTGTGTGCCTGACGGCGTCCAGACCCGGAGCGCCGGCCCGAGGCGGGGTGGGGGTGTGGGCGAGGAGCTGGGCGTGAGTGCGCGTGGAGCGCCCGGTGCCGCGGAACTTCCAGCGCAGCCGAGTAGCTTCCGCCGCGCTGGAGGCGAGTCTCCCAGGTTGGGGCCCAGGAGCGCCCTGGGACCTGGGTTTGGTTGCAGGGTCTGTGTCCTTTCTTGTTTGGCCCCGAATTGTCCGCATTCAAAGTAATAATGAAACGTTTAGAAAGCAAACGGCGTGGATGCAGAGGGACCAGCTCGTGGCTTCCCACGGGCTGACCAGGCCGGGGCGGTGCGGGAGTCCCGGGCCCGGCACGTTGCCGCACTCAGTCCTCACGGTTCCTGTCGCTGGGCTCGCCCGGCACCTCCGCCGGCTTCTCCGCTTCCTTGGCGCGCTCCTGCTCCGTGAGCTGCTCGCTCGTGGGAATGGAGTTCTTCTTGGGCCGGCCCTTGGGCTTGGTAGGGGACTCCAGGCCACCGCCCTGCAACACCTGCGACAGAGAGTAGTGTGATGAGCCGGGACGCGGACCCGGAACCCCGCGCCCTGAGCTCACTTGGGATCATGGGGTCCGGCGAAGCCCATCTGAGGCTGCTCCCGGATCCTCGGGTCTGGCGGGCCGTTCGCGCGCCGCCGGGAAGAGGTAGCCCCAAGGTCTGACCAAGGCGGGGTGGGAGAGTTCAAGGCTGTCAAGGAGGCCAGAGAATGCGGAGAGAACAAGAAGGAATGCTGGCTCTGCTAGGGCACCCACAGGGGTCGCGAGACAAGACCAGGAAGGGCCCTAGGCACCGAGGGAGTCGAAGGGTTGGGCGGGGGCGGGGAGGGTGGCACTGGAGAGCAGCTCTTGGGAGGCAGACGGGCATGGCCCGGAACACAATGACGAGATGCCACCAGGGACACTCACTATTTTCTTCCACTTCATCCTTCGATTCTGGTACCACGTCTTCACCTGCAACTGGCTCAGGCCCAGGGACTCGGCGAGATCTATTCTGAAAAGAGCAGGGCGCACCCTCAGCAGGGCAGGGCCGCTTCTCCCACTCCCACTCCCACTGGCCCAGCCTGGCCCCCACACTACCTGTCTGGCGTGGAGAGGTACTTCTGCTTCTCGAAGCGCTTCTCCAGGCCCATCAGCTGCAGTTCGGTGAACACCGTGCGGCTGCGGCGCCCCTTCTTGGCCTTGGTGCCCGGCTCTCCTGGGCCTGCCGCCTCCAACTTCCCGCGTAGCTGCAGCTCCAGCGGCAGGTGCGGCGCACCCGCGGCGCCCGGCAAACCAGGCCCGGCGGCCAGCAGCGCCGAGCCCAGCCCCGAACAGCCGAGCGGCGCCAGCGGGAACTTGAACACTGCCGCCTGGTCTGCCTTCAGCACGGCTGCGGGGAGAGAGGGTGGGGAGCCGGTGAGTTCCAGCGGCACTTCTCCCAGCGGGGAGGGGGCACCGCACCGTGCGCCGCGGGCATGCTCGCCGCTTGGCCAGTGCCACCCGGCGCAAAACCTATGCCGGCCCGGGGCGCGAGGAGTTGCGCCCGGTGCCGAGCGACTCTCCACCATGGCGTACCCGGGGTGTGGAAGGGCGGACCTGCCCCACCCGGGTGCTCTGCCTGGTTACAGAGCCCCAGGCCCCAGCCGCCTAAGATTCGAGTTCTCCGAGGACAAGTTCGAAGTTGCAAGACGGGCAAGAGTGTGTCCTTAGTGGCAAGGGAAAGCCAAGAGAAAAAGCCGCAGCGAGTCCGGAAGACGGGTGTTTGCCCGGCCCAGATCGGCATGGCAGTGTTCGAAAAAAGAACACGACGGAGGGTGAGCGCTGGCTCTCCAGCCCGCTGCGCGACAGCCACGCGGCGGCGGGGCGGAGGGGCGGCGTCTGGGGTGCGGTCGGGAGCTTCCTGGAAATCCCAAAGCACCCCGCGAGCAGGGAAACTGTGGTTCTTCTTTTGTCTGTTCAGACTCTTCCCTGCGAAGACGTTTCCGGCTTCTTTAGTCCTAAAATGGTTTTATTTTTTGCCCGCTTCAAACGAATTACTAACAGCGGAGCAGATGCGGGTGAAATTCCGCCGAGATGCTGCGACCGAGACGGGCCCAGAACGAGCAAACCGGCCCCCGGGCCCCTAGGCGGGCGAGCTCCAGCTGAGGTAGGAGTGCAGGAAAGGCGGCTCCGGACTGGGGGTTCCTTCCCGGAGAGGTATCTCCCTCGGGCACCACCCTCGCGGCGCTGAAGTCAGCAGGAGTCCAGCCGAGATGAGGGTGAACTTGGGGAGGAGGATCACGGGGAGAAGGGTCCTTAGAATAGTAAGGGCGAGGAGAGGCAGACGACAGGCCGATGGATGTGCAGCGAAACCGGGAAAAGCAAGGAGGGCATGGGGCGCCGCTGGGGAAGCCCCTCCACGGAAGGAGCCGGGGACAGACCTGGAAGCGGAAGGGCCACCCGGCGGTCGCTCACAGCCAGGCCGCTTGCCCCCTGGAAAGGCCCAGGCAGGTCGCGCTAGGGCTGATGCAGCGGCGGTTGCCCGTTGCAGCGCGCCGAGCTCTGGGAGGCTCCGGGCCGGCGGCGTGGGCCAGCGCCAGCACCCAGCTCTCGAAGCCGTGGGCCTCTTCTCCAGAGGTCACTCCCGGCCAACTCTCCGCGGCGAAGCCCAGGCGCCTGCGGCCTGAGGTCGCTTTGACCCGCAGCGGTCTGCAGAGTGGTCGTGCGCCAGCGATGGGCAATTCCGGCCCGTACCCCAGAGCGGCCCCCTCCGGTGCTGGAAGCCTGAGGTCGGCTGGGAAGAAGAGCCAATGCTTCCTCGGCCCAGTCTGCGGGCACGAGGCCTGGTCGTGCCGCCGTCGCCTGCACCCTCCGCTTCCCGGCTGCAGCGCGCCCGCGAGACGGGCCTGGGGGTGAGGGTGGCCTGCGCCCCCAGAGCGACGCTCCCGGGCGGCGCCAGGCGTGAGGGCAGCGAGGGCGGCTTCCAGGGCTCCCCGCGGCGCGGCTCGTCCCTCCCGCCCAGCAGCCCGCGCCCCGTGGCCGCCGCACGTACCCAGGTGGCTGTGGAAGGGCCGCGCCGCCAGCAGCGCCTGCACGCCGAACTTGAGCAGCTCGCCCGCGGCGGCAGCGGCGGCGGGCGCGGCGCCCTTGGGCCCTGGCGGCTCAGTCAGGATCTCCTCGATCATGAAGCTGCGATAGCGGTGCGGCCGGTGGTCCGCGCAGCCTTCGGGCGGGCCGAAGCGCGCGGCGCCGGACTCCCCTGGCCGCTGCATCGCGGCGCCCGGGGCTCGGCGGCGGCTCGGCTCGGGCGCGGGGCCCGCGCGGGGCTCTAGGCCGGCCCGCAGCTCCCGGCGGCGCGCGGGCGCCGGTTCATGCCCCCTCCCCCGCCGGCCGGCCGGGCGGAGGCGCAGGGCGCGGGCGGGGCGCGCGGGGCTCGGCCGGTCGGACCCGGGACTGCGCCCACTCCCCGAAAAAACGCGCCTATTGTCCGGACAGCCCCGCGTCACCGCCCCGCCCCGCCTGGCCCGCCCCGCCCCGCGCCGCCGCCCCCCACCCCCTAGGCCGAGCCGGAGGGAGGAACCGGGGAGAGAGGGAGGAGGGATGGAAGGAGGGGGCTGGCCGGCCGACCGAGAACGAGGGAGACTGTGAGGAGCGCAAGCCCGGAAAGACTGCAGAACAGCTCGGGAGGAGAGACCCCCTCCCCAGAGAGGGGAGACAGAGGGATCGAGAGAGAGGTGAGAGAGGGGCCAGAGGGAGAAAGCGAGGGTCACGCCGTGTACGAGGCGGTAGTAGGAGTGTGCCCCGGACGCCGCACGGCGCGCGCACAGGGAGGCTGAGAGAGGCGCGAGAGCCAGCGGGCCGTGACGTGCCCGAGGGCACAGAGGCAGCAGGCAGGCAGAGGGAGGGGACTGCAGAGAGAGCGCGGGGACAGCTTGAAAGGCGAGCGTTCTGGGCAGGGGAGAGAACGCTCGGGAGGCAAAGGCTGTGCAGCTCAGCTGGGGAAGAGGTGGCGCACAGCCTGCGGCCAGGGTGCAGGGCTGCGCACCCAGCAGGGATGCAGCAGCGGGCACGGGTGCGACTCCAGCAGCTCGCTTTCTCTCTCTCTCTCTCTCTCTCTCTCTCTCTCTCTCTCACACACACACACACACACACACACCACCCCCGCCTCAGTTTACCAGGCTCATTTCTCTCCGAGCTGCCCTGGGAGGAAAATGCTCTCCAGCTGGAATTTGCTAGAACTGCAAATTAAGTGGTACATGGACACATCCTCCTTGGCAAGCCCAAGGTCTGTTGGCCGGGTTCAGTCTGCATACTAAGGGATGGACAAGAGGAGAAGCCGGTGGTGCAGCTTCTTCACTCCCAGCTTTGGAGCCTCTGAGGGGAAATGGTTAGTGGGCGAAGCTGGGGCTGGGACCTCAGGAAGTCTGACATCAGGGAGCCTGGCTCCCACATAACCGAGGAAGTTGGCAGCACCTTGCCTAGATCCTTGTGGTCGTTGTTGGAGAGCATCAGGCCGAGGTGTGGGATGCATCATCCCAAAAGCTAAACCTTCCACTAAGTTTCTGTCTTTGGCTCTGAGCCATCTGCTAGCCCTTTCTGGATGTGGGTCTCTTCACCTGTCCTGAGACTGTGCTAACTGTGCTGACTCCAAGAGGCTGTGAGGGTTGAGTGTGTGCGAGGGGCATCTGTACCCATAGGGCACCACGGTGTCTGTTTGGGGTTGGGGAGAACCCAGTTCCTCCAGGCAAAGAGGGTGGAGTGTCCCCAGGAGGCTGGAAAAGGCCACCTGCCATCCCTGCCTGCTCTGTCAGGACTCCTGCGCCCCACCTCCCTGTCCTGTCCACCAGCCAGCCTGCACCCCGCCGGCTGCAGTTTCCCACAGCGTTCTGGGTGGGGCCTCATGGCCCTGCCTCTCCCCAACATGATGCACTTCCTCCAGTCCCAGACACTGGCCCCAGGCCTCTGGCTCTTGCCTAGGAGAAAGCCAAGACCCTTCTGTGAGTAAGGGCTGGGCCGGGGAGGATAAGACCTGGCCAGAGGCTCTAGAGAGTCTCTCCACCCTAGCTGCTGTCAGACTTTCTGAGTGCTGAGTTGTTATCAAGACTGGAGGAAGGCGGGCTCAGGGGCCCCTGGTTGCTTCGGACTCCCCCTGGGGTGGAGTTCCGTGAGTCCCTGGCTCTTTGGGAGTGTTGGTGTGGGGACCCACTGGGAGCAATAATATTCCCCACTGAGGGGTGGGAAGGCCTTGGGGCCAAGCCCACCTCTGCCGAGCGGCAGGGACTCCACGTCCCAGCCAGCAAGCCGAGGAAGCCAGGGCATGCCTCTGGGGATTGCTCCTCCTGAGTAGACTCAGACGGGAAGTCCAGCCACTTCCTTTCTCAGAAGGGACACTGAGGCCAGCAAGAGGAAGGACCTGGCCCAGGGGCCATCGCGAGTAGAACTGGCTCTCTGTGGCCTCCTAGACACGCGAGCATCAGGCCCTTTGTCCCGGCCTCTTCCCTCCCCTCCCCCCCTCTCCCAGCAAGGCCCTCTGCCACCTCCCTGCTTCTGTATCTTCCCGAGGGGGCATAGCCTGGGGGAGGTTTCCCAGGGGGCCCAGCCAGCCCCCACCCCACCCCCTCACCTTGGGAACCTTCCAGATCTAAACTTGCCCTATTGTATCCCTTAGCTGAGGGACTTACAACCTAAGATCACTAGAGGGTCTGTTCCCTTGGGGACCAGCTGTCACCAGCCCAATTTCACCACCAGCTGGCCCCCAAGGGTAGCCCCCTCGGTCAGACGAGAGGGAGAGGGTCATTTTCAGGACGTGGACCTTAGTTCTAGATTTGGGGGAGTCGGAAGGGTAGTGCCGCCCAGCCCCCACCCTCTTACACAGGTGCGCCCCCAGCTCCTTGGCCACAGGCCAAGGCGTCTATTTCCTGCGGGCCCCAGGCCGAGGCCTGCTGCGGGGCGCCCGCCGGGATTGAGGCCTCAAGAGTTGGGGCGGGGATGCCTCGCGAGAAGGCTGACAGAGCCAGACCAGGCCCCAGACTCTCCCTTAAGTGACCCCGTGTTCTCGCGAGTGCTCCCCACGCCGCCGAACCCAAGAGCAAACCTGCACGTAAACCCCTTTTAGGCGAAAAACCCACACTAACGGCGGCGGCAGCCCGAAAGGGGCTCACAGAGGACGGGAGGCCCTCTCCTCGAGAGGACACCGAGGCCCAGAGGAGGGAAGCCCTCACTCCAAGGGCGCAGCCCCAGAGCGCGACGCCCGAACCCACCGGGGCCTCCCGCCGCCGCCGCCGCCGCGAAAATCCCGGAAACCGTCCGCCCGCCGCGCAGTGGAAAAGGTGATCTCAGCGCCCAGGGCCCGCCGCGCTCCCCGGCGGCCGGCGGCTAGGGGCTCCGGGTGGCAGGGGTCTCGGCGCCCCCTTGTCCCCGACGTCAGGCGGGGGCCCTCTGAGCGCGGCACCGGCCCCCTCCACGCCCGCGCTTGGCTCCGCGGACGCAAGGCTGGGGACCGCGAAGGGGAGGGGTCGCCTCACAGCTCTAGCCGAGCCCCCAGGGAGCCGGTGTTCGAGTTCCACATCCTCCTCCCCAAGAACCGCCCGGACGGGATTCTGGATCCCTTCGGAGCTCGAAGGGGTCCCGGAGACCTTGCACAGACGGCGAAGCTGAGCCCGGGAGGGGCCGGCCTGGGCAAGGTCAGCGGCCAGCGCCTGGGGCTTCGGGGCCGAGCCCTCCTCCAGGCCCCTGGACCGCGGACGGATTTCTCGGCGTCTCCCCTTCCTCTCAGTTTGTGTCTTGCTCGGCAAAACGAAGTTGGGGCCGGAGTGGAGGCGAGATTCCTTCTACAACGGCCAGCTCATCCCGGGAGCGATCGCCCTCGCCGCCACCTACCCGTGGGCCAACATCCCCCAACCCCCAGTTCAGGAAGGGGCACTGGAGGCCCGAGGGGCCCAGCCGGCCCCAGGCAGTCGTGGCGTCGTCTCTGCACCTCGGGCCGGGAGCTCCGCGCACGGCCTGTCCCCGGGCACGCGCCGCTCCTCCTCGGAGTGGATCTCGTTCCTCCTCTCTTCTCCCCGTAAGCCTGCGGCTCCGCTTGTCCCAGCCGCGGGCACGCCGGCAGTGGTCAGCGGTGGTTTCGCTCCCGCGGAGAACAGGGTCAGCTTCCGCCGCAGGTGCGCAGAGCCGGGCAGGGGCCACCGGGACCGAGCCAGGGACGCACCGTCCGGGCTGCGGCGCGCGCCCGGCCTCTGCCCGGATCGGAGGCTGGTGGCAACCGTACTGCTTTCAAAACAGACTATCTCGGGACCACCACATTACCCCGTCCCCATGTCCTGGGGACAGCCGAACCACTGTTTCATTGGAGAAGCCGGGCTCTGACTCTTGATGACAATGTCGAAGCCGAGAGTGAACTTTCGTTTTGTTTTACAAACTCTTAGGATCTCTGGAGTCACATCGTTTTGGGGGCCCCGTCCTTTCTTTCCCCCTCGTGGAGTAATTCGCAATGCGTTTCTTTGGAATTGGTTATTTTCGTTTTGTAGGTGGTATTATGGATCTGTGCTTTCCTTTGGCGGTTTGAATTTTAAAAGATCAATGTGTAAGTAGGGAATCACTGGCCCTCGCAGCCCGGGGCAGACCCGATTCTTGGTGGATCGAGGACCGTAAGCGATTCTCTGGAACACGCAGGCGCCCGGCCACCAGGCCCCCCAGGGGTCCCGCCCCCATTTCACACCCACCTCTCGCCCTGCCCCTTGACCCTCCGCAGCGACCTCGGATCCGAATAGGGTCGTGCAAGTCTGCGGCAGCGGGGCCACCCCAAAGGCCGCTTGCTGCCAGGGGACTCGCTGGGGCCTGGCACGGGAGCGGAGTGGTGCGGCCCGGGAGGCCCAGCGCGGGCAGTCTGGGCGGCCCCCAGGGCTCCGTCCCAGCGGCGGCATGGACCCCAGCGCCCTGGGTTGCAGGTGAGGGAGCGCAGTCCCGGCTGGCTCGGAGCCTGCCGGGCTTTCAGGGAGAGTGAGGGCCGGTGCCGCCTCGGGCTTTCCTCCTGGCCCCACCCTGGCAGGTGCCGGGCCACTGGTTCCCACTTCGGGCTTCACCAGAGCCCTCGCAGCGCCGGCCGCCGCCGAAGTCCCAAAGCCTAGGACAGTCTCCGCGGGGGGCCTCTAGTAAGCTACCAAAAAGGAGAGGCCGAAGTGAGCCCGCCAGCTCGCTCCAGCCAGGACGTGACCAGGCACCTAGAGGCTTGCACTTTCTTTTTCTGTCCTCCCCACCCCCTCCCCCCTTTGTTCCTTCTCCATCCTTCGCCTTCTCCCTCTTTCTCTAAGTCCTTCCCTCCTCGCTGCCTCTCCTTCCTTCGGCTCTGGTCCTTTCTGTTTCTTTTCATCAGAAAGAGAGCCACATCTCAGCCCTGTCCTCCTCCTACTGGGGGGGGGGCTCCCCAGGCTCCCCCCTCCCACCCTCAAGTGTCAGATACTCTGCAGTTCAACACTCTGTAAAAAATAGATTTATTTGAAAGGCAGAGTTACAGAGAGACAGGGAGAAGAGGGAAAGAGAGAGAGAAAGTGCTCACATCCTCTGGTTCACTCCCCACATGGCCCCAGCAGCAAGGGTTGGGCCAGGCTGAAGCCAGGAGCCTGGAACTCCATCCAGGCCTCCTATGTGGGTGACAGAGGACCAAGTACTTGGCCATCTCCTGCTGCTTTCCCAAGCACATTAGCAGGGAGCCGGATCAGGAGTGGAGAAGCCAGGACTCAAATTGGCACCCAAATGGGATGCTGGCACTGCAAGAGGTGGGTTAACCTGATGTGCCACAATGCTGGCTCCAGTTTAACACTTTCTTTTAAATAAGATTTTATTTATTTATATTTATTTTGAAAGGCAGAGTGACAGAGAGAGAGAGAGAGAGAGAGAGACAGAGAGAGAGAGAGAGTAACAGAGAGATAGAGAGATCTTCCATTGGCTAGTTCACTCTCCCAAAATGGCCGTAACAGTCAGGTTCGGTCCAGCTGGAAGCCAGGAGCCTGGATCTCCACCCTGGTCTCTCACACTGATGGCAGAGACCCTGGTCTCTCACACTGATGGCAGGGACCCTGGTCTCTCACACTGACGGCAGGGGCCCAGGTGTTTATGTTATCCTCCTCTGCCTTCGATGCATCAGGGAAAGCCAGACAGGAATGAGAGGAGCAGGGACTCCAACTGGCATCGGCTAGGGGATGCCAGTGTTGCAAGAGGCTTCGCCCAGTGGGCCACCATGATGGCCCCCGTAACACTTTTAACACTCACAGAGCTTCTGGAGGGCTCTGCAGCCTGTGTACGTGGGCCGGAGTCCCCTCCAGCCTGGGAAGCCTGGAAGGGGTGGGGTTGGGGATCTGGTCCTACCTCTTACCCCAGCACCTGCGAGAGGATGTCTTTGCCCACATTCCACAGGAGTCAGGTGTACATCTGTCCTTCCTGACCTAGGGCTGAGCTCTGGTTTCAGGTCCAGGCTGCTCTCAAGGATGGTGGAAGGGGCGAGGGGAGGCAGGAGGCTGGGCACCGACTCCTCCAGCAGCACCTCCTGCTGGGTGCTTGCAGATCAGTGAGCGCAATGTTTATTTTGCAGGCAATGATTCTGTGGCCTAGAGACATCCTGGCTCAGAGATGCTAGGAATAGCCTCCTACGTGGTTCCAGGCCAACAGCACGGGACAGGAGCTGGGGCTGCCTCCACAGGCCCTCAGCGTCCCTGAGGCCCTGTTCCTGTGAACCGTTGTGTACTTTCTGCCTTTGCCCGGTCCTTCAGCACCCGCAATGGACGCAAGGGCCGGCTTGCAGTGCTGTGGAGAGCAGGCAGGGGCCTCAGCAGGAGCCCAGGACTTTACCCTGCTACTTCTATGGAGCAAACCTCTTCCCTGTCCAAGCCTCAGTTTCCCTGCGTGACAAAATAGGAGGGAATTTTTGGATGAATCCTTCGCCTTGCTGGTTTGCAAAGCCTAAATCAGAGGTTAGAAAGCATTCCTTCATGGGCTGGGTGAGTAGATGTTTTAGGAACTGCAGATCATACACTGCTCAGTGTGAGAGTAGCCGAGGATAACAGGGAGCGAACGGCTGTGGCTGAGTTCTTTATTTCAGGGTACGAAACTTTGAAATGTTTAAAAAAGATTTATTTATTTGAAAGAGTTATAGAGAAAGAAGGACACAGAGAGAGAGAGAGAGAGAGAGAGAGAGAGAGAGAAAGAAAGCGGTCTTCCATATGCTGGTTCACTCTCCAAATTGTTGTAGCAGCTAAGGCTGAGTCAGGATGAAGCCAGAAGCCAGGAGCCTCATCGGGGTCTCCCACATGGGTGCAGGGTCCCAAACACTTGGGCCATCTTCTGCTGCTTTCCCAGGAGCATTAGCAGGGAGCTGGATCAGAAGTGGAGCATCCAGGACTCGAACCAGCACCCATATAGGATGCAGCAGCAGCTTTACCCACTATGCCACAACGCTGGCACCGAAACTTCGAATTTGATAAAAAAAATTTATGTGTTGCAAAATATTATTATTTTGACTTTTTTCCAACCACTTAAAAAATGTAAAAACCATTCTGTTTGCTGGCCATACAAAAACAGGTGGCGGGCCATGGCTTGTCAGTTCCTGGTCTAGATTAAGTTCTTCTGATCATACAAATCTATGCACTTCCATATCAGAAGTGTTACCTTAGCCAATATTTTTTTTCTTTTAACTTCTTTTTTTCCAGAGAAACGCCCAGTCATTTACAAGCTCCCTTCTCTAAATGGTAATGATTAGAAAGTTTCCTGCTACTACTGCTACATGCAGACCCTGGAGGAGTGAGACACACTAACAGCGCACTTAATCCTCCCAGCAGCCTTTGGAGTATTTGTGCTAGCCCTGCTTCCATTTTCTTGCATGCCCCTGGTGACAGGGTGCTCACTCCCTGCCGTGGCAGCCCTGACAGACTGCTGGGAGCCCAATGACCTGGGCCGGCAGCCCCAGGCAGGGGAAAAGGCCACTTCTGGTGAGATTTGCTCCCTCCCCAGTCAAGTTTTTTCCCATCTCCTCTCCATTTCATCTAAACCCTTTCCAGCTGTTGAAATATGCATGGACCCCGGGGGCGGTAGCCCTGACTTTCTGGTAGTTTCCCAAGCCCTGAGTCTTTGCAGCTGCCGAGTGACAGATCTTGCAACGAATAGGGAAGAGGAAGAGAATACAACATAAAAAAAAAAAAGTTTTATAAATGTGATGCTTGCTAAAAATGTTTCCTGGAAATCTTGCTTAGCGCAGAGCTCCTAGCCCCGCCCTTCATCTTCCGTGGCTCCTGCGCCCTCTGCTGGTCACCTTGGGTCCAGGCTAGCTGGGAACAGTTCTCGGGAAAAGGAAACTGGATGACATGATCTCACTACACGTGGGAATCGGAGAAAGTGGATCTGGTAGAAACGGAGCAGAGTGGTGGTTCCCAGGCGCTGGGGGTGGGGAGTGGGATATGCTGGCCGAAGCGTCCAAACTTGTGGTTGTAAGATGAGCAAGTGCTGGAATCTGCACTTGCATGATACAGCATGCATACAGCATGGTCACTAGCGTCGTTAATAACGTGTTGTGTACTTGAAATGCATTATGGGAGATCTGAAGTGTTCTCACCACAAAACACGGTGGTAACTAGGAGAGGTGACGAATATGTCGATTAGCTTGCTTACGGTGGTCATGTCACCGTGAATACACGGACCAACACCTCACACAGTGAACTTGGAATATAAACTACTTTTGTGACTTATAATGCAATAAAATGGGGGGGGGCACAAGAAAACCAATCGAGCATTTTCTCTCCCAGATGGCTTGCTGGGTGCTGAGCATCAAAAGGCAAAGGTGTGCTAGGTGCCCCGGGGAGTACTGTTGAACTGTGCAGAGAGACAGGCAGGTGGCTGTGGACACAGCGGGGTGTGGAGTGCTTTCCACGGCTCGTGGTTGCTCCAGGTCCCGAGGGCTGCAGGGAGCTCCCAGCTCCGGGCTTCACTGCGGGGGGTGCAGGGATTCCCACCCACCAGGTTGGTTTGAAATGTCTGGAAACGAGAGCCTCGGGGAACATGAGCAGCCCGAGCTCCTGCCCCCAAGCTTCTTGCTAAGGACGTTTTCCGGGTGTGCTTCTGAGAAGGTGGTGTCTCCCAGTACAGTCGCAGGTGGCCCCAGCCACCGACAGAGGCACACGTGTGAAACTCTGCGTCCCCCTCGCGTTATCTCATTCAGCCTCACATCTTCCAGTCCCGGAAGTTGGTGTTCCTATCCTTAATTTATGAGCAGGGAAACTGAGGCCCGGGGTGACCAGAGCTGGCATTTGAATCAGTGCCCCCTCCATAGCTACACTATGGCCTTTGGAGGGGGTCCTCCGTATCTGACTTCACTTTCCCTCCTGCCCTGACAGTTACTGAGCTGCAGACTGTATCTCCAGCTACCCAAAGGCTCCCCCCGTCCCCAGCCACACGCCCAATGCTGTGCCACGATCTGGATTCATCACACCGGAAGGCCTACCTTGCTGACAGCTGACCAAGGAGGGTATGCCACACAGCCCGTGCCTACCCCAGCACACACAGTGGGTGGGTATCCCTGCCCAGAGAGCAGGGCGCTACAGGCTCAAGTCTGGTTCAGGACACCTAGGGTACTGAGACCTGTGATCACCACAACCCCAATCCTACCCCATTCAGTGTAGGAGAGCAAGACTGACATGTTCAGATGACATAACTCCTGGGGGATTGTCATCAGTTTTGCTGAGAATGGTACTTCCTGATTGTGCAGTGCCCAATCCACACAACTGTGCCCAGGAGTCCTGCCAACTGTGTTTCCTCTGTCCACATAAAATGAAATGGGATTGAAAAGACTTAATTTTTTTAAGCTCTATCAAGTTCTACGTGTCTCTTCCCTAGATGATGAGCAGTGTGTTGAAACAAGGGAGGAAAATATATCTCACCTCCACACTTCCTGTTAAAAGTCCACCTTCATTTAGAAACCTACTTGCTTGTCTTAGATTTGTATTACAGATCAGAGCAAAATTTGCTCAACATTGTAAGTAGACCGAGTGTGGTGAGCGGAGCGCTAAGGTCGCCCCCTGGTGTCCATGCCTTGAATAATCCATCCCTTTCCTGACTTGAGTTATCTCAGGTGGCTAAAAGGATTTTGCAAATGCAAAGTCCACAACCGATTGACTTGGCGTACATCAAAAAGGACATTAACCTGTGCCCGACCAAACCTGACAAGCCCTGTAGGAGGGCCCAGGCTTCTCCCGGGGGTCTGAGAGCTCGGGGGACCTTTGAGAGGTCCGAGGTGCGCTGTGAGAGGCTCGTGGAGGGGTCACGTGGTCAGGACCCGAGAGCAAGGAAGTGCACTCTGCCAGCAGCCCGAGTTGGCTCGGAAGAGGCTCCGTCGGCCCTGCCAGCGCCTTGGCCGCTGTCCTGTGGGACCCCGAGCAGAGTCCCACTAAGCCGTGCCAGGCTCTGACCCAGGGGGCCCTGAGGCAATAGGAGTGTGTTTTCCGGGTGCCTATTGTGGCACAGGGGGTTAAGCTGCCACGTTCCACATTGGCCGCTCTGCTTCCCACCAGCTTCCTGCTGATGCATGCTGGGAGACCGCCTCTCCCTTCCCCCGGGGCAGCCATCAAGGGTGCATCCAAGCCTGGGTTTGCTGGCCCCCAGGTGGCTCTCAGAGGCCCTTGGCATTAGGGCCTGGGTCCCATGCCAGCATGATGTCACCTGGAAGCCAGGAGAGGCTCTGACCACTGCTCTAGCCCTCCCTGTCCCCTCACTTCCCCCAAGTTCAAGGAAAGATGGGGTGCTGGGGGCGAGCCCACCTGGCAGCCCCTACACTGGCTGTCGGGCCTCTGTGGACACGATGGGAGAGTCACTCTCCATCGGTTATACACTCAGCTTTCTGATTCAGGTTGGCGCCCATGTGACCTCTCTGCTCACAGCCCGCGGTTCTGCCTCAGCGGTCAGCCCAGGCCTGGGCTTTGGAGCAGGAGGGGCGGCTGTGCTTGAAGGGTGACCCCTCCCGGGGGGAGCAGGTACATGCAGCTCTACAGTGACCCATGGCCACTTCTGCCAAGTGATCTTTATAATTATTATTAATTATTGTCTAGCGTCCAGATCACTTTCCAATACATTTATAAGAACCACATCGTCATTTAAAGAAAAAGCCCTGGGAGGAGTGCCGGCAATACAGGAGGCAATGGTAGGGCGCGAGTAGCATCCTGGCTTCAGAGCTGGCGCGGCTGTGTCCTGCTTAGTGACCAGGCGCACATTTCTCTGTGTGCCTCGGTTTCTCCCAGGCTCCTACTAGCACTGATGTCTCAGAGTGATGGATAAGCGAGGGCTGACTGGTGCATGTTTGTACAGTCTCCGTGCCACGGGCCAGAGATACGGCATGCTCTCCCCCGCTGCCTCCATCCCACCCACCCCAGCCAGCACTCAGAGCCCCGCCCTGACCACCCTCCCTGGCTGACAGCCGCTCCTCCAGGGCGCTCTGGCCGCAGCCCAGAACTGAGGTGTGCTGCCCGGACTTCTGTCAGCCTTCGCTCTGCTTGTCTCTCCACTAGGGCTCTGAGCTTGTGGTGGGAAGACGCGACTGTGCTGGCTGGAGCCGTCCTCAGCCAGTGCTGCCAGAGGGGAGGAGGTGGATGCACGCAGCCTCCAGGAGGGCTCCGATGACGCCGCTCCTGATGCCTGGGATCTGAACTGGTGCAGGAGTCTGCGTGCATCTTGCCAGCCACAGGGAGAGCCCTCAGCTTCCCTGGTAGTTCATGGGAGCCATGCCATCTGAAGATGACCCAGGGCAGAGGCGAGGAGGGGCAGCTGCAGAGGCCCGCATGCCAAGAGCAGGGACAGCAAAGTGCACCCAGCGTCAGCCGGCAACAGAGTGAGTCAGGGTCCATCGGCCAGAGCTAGATGGCCACAGCCCAGCTGGGCAGAGCCTGACCTCCCAGGTGGCGGGGGGAGGGCTTCTGAGGCCTGCCTGCACCTGCTGGAGCTGCAGATGCCACCGCTGGCCCCGGGGGGTAGAATGCAGCCAGGGGAGAAGACGGGCAGTGCCCAGCTGTTGTAGATGGGGTCTGTCTCAATAAGCGCACCGGAAGTTGGAGATAGCCTAAGTGGACAACACCTTAAGTCCCCCTGGCCTCCCGCCCACCCGGGATCCACAGCTCAGTGCCCTGTTGAGCTCCGAGTGCTCTCCTTGTGTCTGTGGGGCTGACCTGAAGCCGGGCTCATTGCTGCTGCTGGCATGGATTCCAAGTGCAAACTAAGGTGTTTGCCGAAAGCACGTTGCTCTCCCACCATCGTGAAGGTGAGCATTGTTAAGTCAGGTCTGTTTGCCTTAGCGCGCGCATTGGGTGCTGGGAGCCTGGCGAGCCTTCTCCGGCCTCAGCAATGACACCTTGATCAATCCCCTTCCAAGTGGGGCTGCCTCCCACCCTCATGCCAGGCTGAAAGTTGACACTTGAGAGGTTGGAGGCTGGGGGCTTTGTGCAGGACAGCCACACCGGAGTCTGGCCTTTGTTGCTGGTTCCCGCCAGTGGCCGGGCGGTGTGGGTGCCTTGCTCCGCTCCCGTCCTGCACAGCCGGCCCCCAGGGACACTCGGGCATTCCGAGCACCTCCCCGCTCTCCCTGCAGTCCTGCCTCGGAGGCCGGAAGGACGTTCACTGCTTCCGCTTGCTGACGGGTGAGACGGTGCCGGCCGTGAAGTCTCCAGGTACTCACTCATTTCTACTTCTTGCTTTATTGTTTTGTCTCTGCCACTAGTTCTTTCAGTTTCTTGAGAATAAGGCCCGCCCTCCCACCAATCCCCACCTCCTCTCCAGCGCTGAGAAGTATCTGGGGAGCGGGGGAACAGTCATGATGACTGGAAACACTGAAGACGAGGGTTTGAGAACGGGGCTGTCTGCCTGCGTAGTTCTTTGGAGCTGCTCTAGGAAAGTACCACGGGCCGGCGCCGCGGCTCACTAGGCTAATCCTCCGCCTTGCGGCGCAGGCATAGTGGGTTCTAGTCCCGGTTGGGGTGCCGGATTCTGTCCCGGTTGCCCCTCTTCCAGGCCAGCTCTCTGCTGTGGCCAGGGAGTGCAGTGGAGGATGGCCCAGGTCCTTGGGCCCTGCACCCCATGGGAGACCAGGAGAAGCACCTGGCTCCTGCCTTCGGATCAGCGCAGTGTGCTAGCCGCGGTGGCCATTGGAGGGTGAACCAACGGCAAAAGGAAGACCTTTCTCTCTGTCTCTCTCTCTCACTGTCCACTCTGTCTGTAAAAAAAAAAAAAAAAAAGCACCACGGAGGACAGGCAGCTCAGAGCACTGGATCACAGATCAAGTGGGTGCCCTTGGCTTGTGACCACATCGTTCCACCGTCCCAAGAGCTTCCTCCCGTTGGGTCTGTGTCTGAATCTGCCTCTCCTGATAAGACACCATCATTACCCTAATCAAGCCTGACTACATCTCAACCCATTACATCTGCAAGGACCCTCATCACAGTTAAAGCCATGCTCATGGGTTCTGTGGGCAGGACTTCAACTTATCTTTGGGGAAGGGGGCAGAATTCACCCACGATACTGCCTGTGTGGCAGCTTTGTACCAATTAGATAAAGGTGTCCCCTCCTGGCACAGGCACAGCTGTAGCAGCAGAGCGCAGGTGAGATTCGAACCGCCCACAGTCCCCTGTACCTCCTGAGCCGGCCATGCAGAGTGAGCTACCGCCACACCTGAGAGCTGAGGCTCTGTTCTGGAGCCTCTCTCTGCTTATAAGCTTAGCATTCATCCGGTGGAAAAAGTCCGGGCTGGAGTTGCAATTCGAGCCCAGCAGGCAAACGTGCAAAGCCCAGCAGGAACATCTTTCCCTGTGGTGCCCCAAGGATGGGACAGTGGCAGGTCCTGGGGTGGGGAAGTCCATTAGGGGTACATTTTCTGCACAGAATTTTAAAACATTGACTGAACTGACTCAACTTTGGTCTGCTTTTTATTATCACCGTGCACCCATTATTCTAAACAATGTCAGTCTTGAAACACTCCCCTCAAATCTGTTGTTGGTCGAAGTTCTAAACAACGGCCACGGTTATCACAGAGCTTCGCAGCGTGTGTGCAGGCTGCAGATGGGCGCAGGGCCGCTATCTCTTCATTCATACCGCGCTCTTCCCGAAGTTACTCAGAGAGCTCCTGAGTTCAACTTGAGACTGTGTGCGGGGCTGCACATCATTGTCACAGCAGGCGTAGTTCTCACCCCAGCTGCCTGAGATCAGTCTGCCCTAGATCCTGGGTCAGTCCCGAGGGCATAGCGATTGCAGCCACGGAGACAGACCGCAGGCGTGCCGTGAGGGCCCTGGGAGCTTTCCTCTGTGTGTGAATGTCCGACAGCAGAACACGCATCGTTCTCTGTCTTGAATGCGGTGATGCTGACCCGGATCCTGGCATGATCAGATGGCCTGGATCAACACACAGGTGCCAATGCCGCCCTCCTGCTCTCGACTTTGATTACCTGTGGCCAATCAACCCGAGATGCCTCAGGGTGGAACTGGGGCACAGGGTGCAGGGCACCTCACTCTGCTACCTCTGCAGCTCCTTGGGCACCACTCATTACCTCAAACTGAAAATATCCAAAAAAGCCCAGTGGACGAGGATAACCCCCCAAGGCCAAAGAGTGAGATGGTACAGGATGTAATCGTTTTGTTTATGAGTACAAATTTGTTTTGTATGTGAAATGCTTTACTGCATTTGAACATCTTTGATATTTATGGTTCTTTCAAAATTATGCTGCATATTTAATTTTTATTTAATTGTTACTGAATCAAAATGGACCTGTATGAAGGCCAAAGGCTTTCTCTCTTGAAAAAGTACATGAATGAAATTTAAGGCATTAACCCAATAGGCTTTTTCCTTTTTGTTCTCTAATAATTCCATGTATTTACTTACTTTACTGGCATGGAGTTCAGTAAAAGGTCACTGTCTATGTGCCTTGCTTGCCATTTTTATGATTATTCATGTCATGTCACGATCATTATTATTATTATTTAAAGATTTATTTATTTGTTTGAAAGGCAGAGTTACAGAGAGGCAGAGTCAGAGAGAGAGAGAAAGAGAGAGAGAGAGAGAGAGAGAGAGAGAGAGAGAAAGAGAGAGGTCTTCCATCCTCTGGTTCATGCCCCAGATGGCCGCAACAGCCAGAGCTGAGCCAATTCGAAGCCAGGAGCCAGGAGCTTCTTCCAGGTCTCCCACATGGGTGCAGGGGCCCAAGGACTTGTGCCGTTCTCCACTGCTTTCCCAGGCCACAACAGAGAGCTGGATGGGAAGCAGAGCAGGCAGGACTCGAACCAGTGTCCTTATGGGATGTCAGCACTGCGGGCAGTGGCTTTACCTGCTATGCCACAGTGCCAGCCCCATGATTATTATTGAAAATGATTCTGTTGTGCGCTGGAGAGGGTGGAAAATTGACCCACTGCAGCTGTCCAGGTCTCTCACATGGACGGCAGGGGCCCAAGCTCTTGGACCATCTTCCACTGCCTTCCCAGGCGCATGAGAAGGAGCTGGATGGGCGGAGGAGTGGCTGGGGCTCAAACTGGTGCCCATATAGGATGCTGGTGCTGCAGACAGTGGCTTAACAGGCTGGGCAATTATGCTGGCCCCTATTTTTAGTGTTTTTGAGTAACCTCCACACTGTTAGAAGAATTTCCTAGCAGGTGCACTGGTGAGACTGAACGCCTTGTGTGCCCCCAGCTGCCTCAGGAGGTCACAGTGCTGCCATATTGTACAGGGTCAGCTGCAGGTGTGGCAGAGTCTGTCACCAGAGCCTGGTGTTTTGTGTTGTGTTGTTTTTTAAGATTTATCTATTTATTTACTTACTTGAAAGGTAGAGTTACAGAGAGAAAGAGACACAGAGATCTTCCATCCACTGATTCACTCTCCAAATAGCTGCGGAAGCCAGGAACTCCATCTGGGTCTCCCACACGGGTGACAGGGGCCCAAACACAATGGATGAGCGATCATCCATTGCTTTTCCAGGTGCATTAGCAGGGAGCTGGATCAGAAGTGGGGCAGTAGACATATGGGATGCTAGCTTTGCAGGCAGCTGCTTAACCCACTGCACCACCATACCACAATAGAGGCCCGTGGAGCCTGGCTTTAAAAAGCTGGCTGAAAAAGACACACGGGGCTGTAGGGAGTTGAATTTGCATCGCTGTGCTGGACCTCCTTCTGGCCCTCAGCCTTGCCTCCTCCTGTTTCCTTCTGCTCAGCCTGGGGCTGACTCCCTCCCCTCCATACAGAAATTGTGCTGTTTTCAAATACCCATTCACATCTTGAACTGTTTTCCTGGGCAAAGTCCTACTGCTGGCCCTGCTGTCTGCTTGGTCACAGACTTGCTCTGAGCATGGACTATGAGTGGGAATGACTGATCCTGCTTCCCAGCAGAGACCTGCAAGCCTTTCAGTATGAGATGGGCAGGTCCCAGACTGGGTGGCTGTTTCGGCCCACAGCCAACAGGAAAGCAGAGCGGAAATAGACCGGTGCTGTGGGGAGCCACCGAGAGGCTGGGATTCTTGGTCATCACAACCTGAGTTAGCAAAAGCCCTGGTATCCAGCAGGATTGGCCAGCAGGTGAACTCGGAGGAGGCGGTGGCAGGGAGAGGGAGAGGATGAGGAGTGAGTTCCCTTGTGCTCTTAGATGCTCAGGTGGGTTTGTGCGTCTGCTCCGGGCAGGTGATCTGCTCCACGGAGACACTTCTCTGGGTTTCAGCTGGCTTTCTCCTGTCCCTGCCGTCCCAAGGCTAGGGACAGCTACCTGCCTGATTCTGCCTGTCCTGGCTGCTATCCCTTCCTCTCTCGTCCACTGACAAGCCCCCCGATGGACTGGGTAAGAGTGATGTTCAGGTTTTATTGTTAATTAGAATGAGAATCCCATGTCTATAATTTATTTTGAAGCAGACTATGAACAATTAGTTGTTGAACCCAGGTGTCTACGAATGGCCATGATTTTTTTTTCACTTTTCTGTCTGAAAATTTTTATAATGAAAAGTAAAAATAAAAAAAAATTAGGTGGGGAGGTGGGAGAGGGTTCTGGTCTTAACACGACAGGCAAGCCGTGGCTTCCTAAATATGCCAGCCCCTTCCTTCCCTCCTCTGAACTTCTCCCAGGTGGTTCCATGGGCTGGGGGCTGCCCCTTCTGCACGTCTTCACCTGGAATGTTCTCCTCATCCTCTCAGGACGTGCTGCTCTATCCCAGGGCTTCCCTGCCAACCCCCCAACCCCCGCCCCTGCCCCAATGCCAAATGGTCCTGTCGCAAGTCCGAGTAATGTGGCCGTAGGCTTCTGCAGGTCCCGATATTTGTGACCTTGCTCCTGGCAGCGCCCACCTGGCCCAGCCTCTCCTGTTCCTAGCCCACTGTGCCCACCTCACTTCCTCACTCTACCCTGAAGGACGTGCTTCTATGGGCAGTCATTCATTCACTCATGTGTGCATCCAGTCATTCATATGTCTTATCTACCGGCACCAGGACATGCAAGCAAGTGGCTGCAGTGATGTTTACACAGTGGTGCTCATGCCGGGAAGAATAATAAGGGGTGTCCCCATAGGATAAGAAGGCCCTCCCCACAATGCACATGGAGCCTGGCCTCCTGGAGGCCACCCCATGTGGTGCTGAAGGGTGGGTGCAGTGGGCAGGGGGCTCCTCTGATGCCAGGTGCACAGCCAGCTGGAGGAACTCCTTGTGTAAGGGT